ATAATTTGTAATATTGTAAAATTTGATCGGGATGTTCTATGGTCCCGACGATACCCTCGTCGGGACGCTGCGCAAAATGTGCGAAATCGGGATTATCCCGATGAAATCGGGATAGTTGGTCACTCTAAATGCGAAGCAAAATACCGAAATGCTGTTTCCAGCGAACTAAAAGACCTCGATATTAAAGTATGCTATTTCAAAATTACTTTATTGTTTACAACATTTTAATTACGTTAAAATATTAACATTGTTATAAAATTAAATGTAAATTGTTGATCAAATTAATTGTAATTTAATTGTGAGAGATGTTTTGATTTATATTACCTAGATTGACAACACTTGTCGTAAAGAATGTAGTGCTAAGGCGGGTGATATGAGCGCTTATACCAAGGTGGACCTGACCAAGGGTGATTTGAAATTCAGATTAATTGAGGAGTGCGATCCTGATTATTTGGAGTGCATAACCAAACTCAATGAGACCGATGCAAAGTTTAGGGCAAATGTGAAGAGAATGGATGAGATAGAGGATCAAAAAGAGAAAGATAAAATTGATGTACTGTTTAAAATCGTTTATTATTATTTTTAAAAAGTTATAATGATAACTATTTGTTTTGTAGAAATGCATAATGGACGCTGTTAAACAACGATCGTAATTGTGATCAAAATAATATTATAAAATTTTAATGAAATGTTAATAATTTTGCTTATATATGTAAAATTTAATAATAATTTTTAAAATTTGTAACATGAATTACAATGAAAAATAAGGTGATCATATAATTAAGTAACATAAGTATTTTTAACATTATAATTATTTAGACAGTAGTAATACTACTGTAGTATAATGATAGTTTGATAATTACAAATATTAAAAATTATTACCTTGCATACAATACATTGCTAATTGTGCAAATTATTAAAACGTGTGTTGTTTAATTTTTGCTATTTGATAAAATATGAATAGTATTATACAATATAATAATAAAATTTCTCGGCATCTTGGCAATTATATTTATTCAGCAAAAATACTGCTGTAATTCCTTTTGTGATATATAATGTGAATAAATAATATACTGTATGTTGTAAGAAAAAACAGGCCTTGGCACAGTGGTCAATGGTCACTGGTCATTGTAAAGGCCCTGGCACAGTCGCCAATGGTCATTTAACATTATATAGGCCTTGGCACAGTTTTCAATAAACATTTA